CCTCATGGCGGAGGGGGGAGCGCAAGGTGGAAATTTCGCCTAGGGCGCCAAACTTCCTTGCACCGGCCCTGCCCAGGGCAGCGGGTTGCTGCCCTTGCTCTTTGATGAGATGCCTATTCTGGGGGCTGGGGAAGTCTCTTCTCTTGGCTTGGGGCCCTGGAACAGAAATTGTGTCTCCATCTCTCCTCGGCCCGCCGGCTGCACAGTCACGCCCCCAGGCATGGACTGGGCTCCCTGCCGCCCACTCGCCAGCCGTGCTTGCGGCCAGGAGGCGCCATTGGGTGAGAGCTGGCTGTAGTTCTGGGCAAGTCCCCGTAGCGACGGGGCTCAGCCGTCCGGCCATCGTTCTGCCCTGTGACGCTCATTCCGGCGGCTCAGGTGCGTTCCCCTTTGGTTGTGCCCTGCCCCTGCCGGTCCCGGGGAGCCAGGGCGGAGGAGTGCACCGTGTTTGCTCTGGCGCTTTGCTGCACAAGGGCCCAGGCGTGTTTGCTGGTGGGGCAGGCAGGCCCCAGAGGTGAATGCTCCTGTCTGGGCGCTGCTTAGGGGTGGGTGGGGATCAGCCCAGGTCTGCTCTGCAGCCTTTGTTTCTGGTTGTTTGCAGAACTGCAGATGGGGGGTGAAATCCTGCCCCAGGGAAGCCCAGGGGAGTTTTGCCGGTGATATCATCAGTGGAGCATCCATAGGGTTTTATCTAGTTAGTGTAGGTGGGCCTGGATTCCCCCCCCCCAATCCAGCACAGAGGGTTGGATGATGCTGTCCTTCGTCAGGAGTTCTCCTGGGGGTTGTGGTTCCTCCTGTGCACGGGGTTGCCAACCCTCCCGGATTGACCGGGAGTCTCCTGGAATTGGCATCGATCTCCTGGTGACTATTGAAAGCAATCCGGGAGATTTTAATAGGCCTCTAAAAGTCCGGTTGGTGGCGCAGCGGGGCTAAGGCAGGGTCCCTACCTGCCCTGGCTCCGTGTGGTTCCCAGAAGGGACCGGCATGTCCAGCTCCCAGGTGGAGGCGTGGCCAGGGGGGTCTCCACACGCTGCCCCCGCCCCAAGTGCTGACTCCTCAGCTCCCATTGGCCAGGAACCATGGCCAATGGGAGCTGCGGGGCGGCACCTGCGGGCACAGGCAGCACGCAGAGCCGCCTGGCCGCGCCTCCACCTGGGAGCCAGACATGCCGGTTGCTTCCGGGAGCTGCCCGAGGTAAGTGCCCCCCAGCTGGAGCACACACCCTTCACCCCCTCCCATGCCCGAACCCCTGCCCCAGCCTTGAGCCCCCTCCCGCACCTAAACTCCCTCCCAGAGCCTGCACCCCAAACCCCCTCCTACACCCCAATCCCCAGCCTTGAGCCCCTCCTGCACCCAAACTCCCTCCCAGAGCCCGCACCCCAAACCCCCTCCTACACCCCAGTCCCCAGCCTTGAGCCCCTTCCTGCACCCAAACTCCCTTCCAGAGCCCTCATGCCACCCCCCTTCCCCCGCACTGCAACCCCTTGCCCCAGCCCGGAGCCTCTTCCTGCAGCCCAAACCCCTCATCCCCAGCCCTATCCCAGAGCCCGCACCCCCAGTCAGAACCCTCACAACCCTCCTGCACCCCAACCCCCTGCCCCATCCCAGTGAAAGTGAGTGAGGGTCAAGGAGAGTGAGCGATGGGGGGGGGGTGGAGTGAGTGGGGGTGGGACCTCAGGAAGGGGTGGGGCAAGGGTGTTCACTTTGTGCGATGAGAAAGTTGGCAACCCTACATGTGCACAAGGTCCCTAGAGATTTTCTCATGGTGCTTTACTAGCCAGGCTGAAACTCCCTGGAAGACTGTGGCTGAGGCTGACTGATTGTAACTTGCGTTCGGTTCAATCTCTGTAGTAACATTTGACTCTCATTGGGTTGTTTAGGGGCTTTCTCTGAAAACTCCTGCTGGCTGTCTTTCCCAGCTCTGGCAGGAGGTTTCTAGATGAGGTACAGGCTTCTCTACAGTCCTGCGCTTGGAGGCCTCTTTGCGGCTGGTTGTTTTTTCTCTCGCATTGGACGGCTCGGCACGTGGATTTACTGAGGTCACATGTGTTCCCTCCAGTTCCATTTCTGCAGCAATTTAAGTTTCCCTGCTGAACAAAAAGGGTCAGGAAGGTGATGCAGCCGGCACGTACCCTCCCCTGCTGGCTGTTTCCCTCTGCGGGGTGATGCTGTGGTCCGTGAAGCATTTCCTGGCAGGGAACCACTGGAGGATGTTCTGTGACTGGCTGGCTGCCTTGTGACGAGGGCATTAGGGAAGAGTTTGCTGCTGTTGCACGGCAATTGGTTGGGTCTGCGTTTGTACACTGGGATGGCGGCTCCGTCCTTGCCTGGCCCCGCAGAATGTGCCCGCATCTCAGCTGCCAGGAGCTGACACCCCCTTCACCCTCTCAGGCTTTCCCACCATTCACTTCCTTAGGGCTGCCAGTTTCGGCTGGGCCTGCTCCTGGAGGTTTCATCACATGACATAAACTTTAATTAAAGATTAACCGTTACTTCCTGGAAATGCCAGGACATCCTGGAGCGTTGGCAACCCAATGTTCTTTGGCCGCTACCTAATCCCCAGGTGTAGGCGGCAGAGATGACCCCGGCTGTTACCTGGCCTGCGTTCCAGAGCCGACGGGATAATAGCGGGGGCTGTGTGCTAGAGACAGAGGCCACGGCCCCGGGCTGTTCTGTAATGGGTCACTGGGCTGCATGAGCCACAGTGGGAAACGAAGCCCCAGGAGAGCCCCTCCGCTGGCTTTGCTGCAGGGGGCTCCTGGGAGCAGCTGACCCCAGGGAAATGGATTGGGGACTTCCTAGCTCAGTTCTCAAGGGCGCTGAATTAACTCTCTCACTGCCGGAGCACAGGCGGATACAGGCAGGGCTGTGTATCGCTCTGTGGAGGGAGGGCAGTGCCCAGCCTGGGAGGTGCATGTGGCCCTGGCACGGGAAGGGTTGATCCAGGACCTTTGCTCAGGGGTGTTGTAGAGCAGCCAGGAGGTAGCTGTGATGGTCCCAGACGCGTATGCAGATACCCCTATCCCTGCCCCGCCCCTGCTCAGCGTGCGAGAGAGCCCAGACGAATGCCAGCACTTGGCCAAGCCACCATTCGGCCCTGGACAGACAGCAGCCAGAGGTGCCCAGACGTTCCTGTGTTACCGCCTGAAATTCCACCCAAGCCAGAGTCTCCCTGCGCCTCTCTGGAGCCAGAGGGGAATTCCGCAGTGAGCCCATGATGAGCTGAGAGGCTGGAGGAGTTTTTCTTTCCAGGAGTTTTGAGTGTTTCTCTTTCCTGGGTAAGAAACTAATCACAAGAAGGAAGGCAGAGGGGTTCCGAGAGCTGATGGAAAACTCCGCAGGGAACTCCGCAGGCCACGACTCCAGGCACTGCTCCTGGCAACACCAACCTGCTCCAAGGCTTGGGGAGCCCTGGGCAGGTGCCCGGGAGCCGCGCGGCACAGTGGGGTGGTTGGCAGCGGGCTCCTGCTCGGAGGAAGGCAGCTGCCGTTTGCCATTGGTGCTCTCCTGGGGCTGGGGGGTGTTAGTTACTGCACTGGCTGCCTGTGAGTTTCCTCTCCTTTGGCCCTGCTCCGGCACCCCGGCTAGCTGCATTTGAGGCCGGCTTGGTACGTGGGCTCAGACACAGCTCATCCGCTCCCCAGGCCAGCGCAGGATGCGCCCGTGGTGGGGTTTCAGGGGCGGTCTCTCTTCACCTCGAACTGGCTCCTGTCAGGCCCCTGAGAGCTGCCCCGGCGGCACGGCATCAGCTTGCTGACGTATGCGTCTGCCGCCGCCGTCATTTAAGGAAGTGTCACGCGGCTGGGGGAAGCAAGGTGTGTGCCGCGATGGCGGGGGCGTCTTCCCCTTTCAGTCCGCAGACGGCTCCCTCCCCACGTCACTCAGCACCAGCGTCCCTGGTCACTGTGCCTCGGCCTGGGAGCTCACCCGGGATGACGGCTCCCTCTGTGCTGCTGCCTACCACCAGGGCTTCCTCTGCCTCTGTCAAGCACCAGCCCACGGGGTCTCAGTCGGGGGGACCCTCCTCCCTTTCTGTATAGCTGGGGGAGGGTCCTACCCCTTCTTTCTGGTGTAACCTGGGGACAGGGTGTGGAAGGGCTGAGGGCCCTGCTCAGGCTCCTCAGAGAGTGGGGGGGGGCGGGGCGACGCTGCCCAATTTGTCAGCCCTCAGCCTCTCTGAATGGGGCGAAGAGCCCAAGGGAAGGGAGTGACCAGGGGCTCACCCTGCAGTCCAGCCCCCCAGGGCCTGCCAGGACCGTGCCTGGCTCCTCACCGCTGCAGGCTCAGGTCAGTCTCCCATGGATATGGGCAACGCCAGCCCTGCGAGCAGGACCAGCTCCACTGGACCGACACGCACGCAGTTTAGTGCACCTGCTGGAGGGGCCCAAGGCAGGCCTGGGGGGCAGTGACCGAGCTGGGGACAGGAGCCCACTAACGGACCAGCAGGGGAGGGGCGGCACCGGTCACTGGCAGAGCGACATGGGTGGAAGAGCCTCCTACCTCAGTGACTTCCCCTAGGTGTGCAGCCTTGTGCCTGCTCTGAATCTTTGGCAAGCCCAGAGCCCGAGTCTGGAGCCCCCGGTCCCAGTAACAGTCTCAGTTCCGGCGCCTCTGACCTTTGCCTCTAGCACCACTCGCAGATCAGCATCACACTTACCCCTCCTACCCCTGAAGCCAGTAACTGCAGCAGCCCCCTGTCACGGAGTGTGGGGGGACACAAGGCCCTGCACCCCCGGCTTCCTGCGATTCACCATGACTCTCAGCCAGCCAGTAAAGCAGAAGGTTTATTTAGACGACAGGAACACAGTCCAAGACAGGTCTTGCAGGCACAGACAACAGGATCCCCCCCAAGTTAGGTCCATCTTGGGGTCCCAGGGCCCCACAGCCCCCTTGGGAGGTCAGAGCCCCGTCTGCCTCCCAGCCATTCCGCCAGCCAGCTCCTGAAACTTCCCCTTCAGCGACCCCTCCCACAGCCTTTGTTCAGCTTCCCGGGCAAAGGTGTCACCTGGCCTCTAACCCCTTCCTGGGTTCTCACGTTACATGCTCCAGTGTCTTCCCTCAAGGCCAGTCTCCCATCCCCCAATGCAGACCGTCCTAGCCAACCTCCTCTGCCTTCCCAGCCAACACTCCCCACTCAGCATTCAAAGACCACATTAAGAACAGTCCCAGTTGGTCACACCCCCCCCCCCATGCCGCACAGCCGCCTGCCCGGCCAGGCCAGACCCTGCGCTTCGTCCCCCTCTGGGCTCTGGCTTGCTGTCTGCAGCAGCTCCAGGGACCCAGCCAACGAGGCCGAGGGAAATGGATGGCGGTGACCTCCTGGCACGCTCTGGGGACAGCAGCTCCTCTGGGGCAGGCCAGTTCCCAGGGCTTTGCCCAGCCCAGGGTCCCTGCAGCCAACCCCCCCATGCTGGTAAAATGACTCAGTGCTGGGGTTTCTCCTCCTGGTCCGTGACAGCCCGGCAGCTTTGTGCCTGTCACCCAATGGAACGGACGTGGTCCTTGGACCGACGCTCCCCCCTGCCGCAGGGTCTATCCGAGGTGCTCCCTGCCTGACCTTCCCCGGCTGGGAGCAGCCATGTTCCCCTGGCTGTGATGTGCCAGCAGGGCTGGGTTTCCCCTTTGTGTTTTGCAGCGAACTGATGGTGTAATGTAACATGGCCTGGCCCTGATAACCCACCACATGCAAATCCACCCTGCCTTCCCATTCCCCTGGGGCATGCCAGAACCCCCAGCGTTTCCCGGGCGGCACACTGAGCAGGTCCCTGTGCAGTTCTGAGCCGCAGGGCTTCCCCAGGGCTGGGGCGTGCTGGGAATGGAGCCGCGCAGGGCTTTCATCACTGGGGGGTTTCTCAGGGAACTGAGAATCCTTGAGCGGGTGGGAAACTTTCCTACTGGATAAAGCTGGTGCACCCTGGCGTCCCCTGACTGGGGGCTGCTCAGCAGGGACGACTCTCCCATTGGCAAGGAAAAGCTCCTGGAAAGGCCGAGCGCTCCCTCAGGGGCTGCGTGGTGCCGGGGTGGCAGGCACGCTGCCCCTGCCATGGAGAGCCTCAGCGCCCAGTGGGGACTCACTCCTGAGCCTGCATTTCCACTGCCTGAGTTCGGGAGCTGCTGTGCGCACAGGCGGGCCTGGCCTCGCGCCGCGCAGTGCTGAGAATCTATCCCCTGCCCAGCTCCAGGGTGAAACCTCTCGCCCCCCTCCCTCTCCTGCAGAGCTCAGCCATAGGCGGGAGGGTTGTTCCTGATGGGGGGAGTTTCCCAACTTGCTGAGAGGAGGCAGGGAGCAGCAGGGGCTGGTACTTACCCGTCTATTAGAGGAGTCTCGGTCATGATTCTCTCGGCCTTTGCCCGGTAAATCTCCGCTGAGCAGAATGGGAAAATGGATACAAGCAAGTACCCGCACAGCATTGGCTTCATGATGGCCAGACAGGGCTTCTGATTCCTCCACCTCCCACCCTGCTCTAGAGGGGTCCCTCCGGCTGGGCACAGAGACTTCTCTGCGTAAATGAGACTGTCTAGTCCAAAACCAAGGTCTCAGAGATGTTCCTTTGATTGGGAGGTCACATTCCTTGGAACCTGGCTTAGGTAACAGCCCAGAGTCAATAAGTAACCATGCGGGACCATAAAGCAATCCGGAGCCATCTCTAGCCAGCTGCACCTTAGCTTTGCCATACATGAGCTCTTCACAAAAGCGCCCTGTACAAAGTGTTCAGGGCACACATGGGGCAACCCCCACACATGGTCTTGAAGCTCGAAGCCCATCCCGCTCAGAAATGTCATGCGCAAGCAGCGGTTTCAGGTGCCGTCCTGCAAAGGCCACGTCTACACTTGGAGCTGGGGAGGCGATACACGTGTGCTAGCTCTCGGTGAAGTAGGGCACCAGAAGCAGCACAGGCAGTGTCGAGTGTTAGCACGGGCCAGCTGCCCCGAGTCCGTGCCTACGGGGTCCAGGCAGGTTGATGCTCTTGGTAGCTAGCCCGTGCTGTGCTGCCACGGCTGCTGTCTGTTTAGAATGTCACCATCGATGGTGTTGTTAGGCGTGTAGCTGCTCAGGTGCGGGGCGGAGAGCGAGCCGCATTCCATCTGCTAGGCCTGATTAGCTTGGTCCAAGAGAGGCAAGTCTGAGGACACGAGGGGCCGGGCAGGAGACTGGAAGTGGGAGATGCCTCCACAATCCCTCATTTGCAAGGCATCTAGAAGAGCTGAGCGCAGCCGGGCTGCAGACCTCACTGCGTGCGGCCAGGCCAGGCCAGGCGGCTGTCGCTTGTCAGAGATTCTCTCTTCCCAGAGCAGCAGCTGGGGAGGGAAGGAGTCTTTGAAAGAGGAGAATGTTGTGGTGAAACCATGAAAAATCGGCTGGGGCAGGGCCTGCCGCTGCTTTCAAGGGTCCCTTTAATTCCACACATTTCAGGCCCAGCTGCCATTTGCCGTGTCGGTCCCAGGACATTAGTGAGACAAGGGAATCGTTTTTATTGGACCAACTTCTGTTGGTGAGAGAGACCAGCTTCCGAGCTTCACAGAGCTCCACTTCAGCCCAACCTGGTCAGTCTCCTTCCAGCAGAGACCAGGGCCCTCAAGTTCCCTCCGTGACCCCTGTGTCTAGGGGACCTTGGTTAGGGAGAGGGGAAGTTGGAGGGCTTCCCCTTAGAGTAAGTGTGAGACAGAGTCCACCCAGGGCATAGGCAGGGATTGCAAACCAGCAGAGCCCATGTACTAATGGCTGCACTGTCTGGACTCCCTCGCTAATGATCTAAAGCCCCCCGGGGTTTGCACAGACTTTGCAGGTTCGTTTGGTTTCGGGTTTACACAGAGAGCGTTCCCTTCTGGGCCTGGTGCCATGTTCCAGTCAGGACGTACCCCTGCCGGGGGATCTAGTGGGGGCATACGCCCGTCCTCAGCTGATGGCACCTTTCCTGATCTCCAAGCTGGCTTGTCGGCTGTGTCAGCTGATGGGGTGGGGGCGTGTGGAAGACACAGGTCTAAAGTGCAGCGTGTTTCTAGGGGCCATGCCAAGGTGATGAGCGCAGTGTAAATAACCAGACAGCGAAATGCACAGACGTCAGCGAGAAAACGAAAGCCGCTCTCTCCGCTCTGGATTTTCTCCTCCGCGGGGCCCGCTCCCAGCTGGAGAACTTGCCACATGGTCACAACAACAACCAGCTGAATCTGAATTACAATGGTGTGGCAGAGAAGGGGTTAGCCACAGACAATAGCAGGGAAGTGGAGGAGCACCAGGGAGAAAAGTATCTGTGGCTGGGGCCTGAGAGGGGAGATTCTTTGCTGCCTTGGGCGCTGCTCGGCCTGGCATGCCCCGCAAGGCCCTGCCCGCCACGCCACTGGGCCCGGGAATGCGGGGCCCCAGGGTTTGAATCCCAGTCAACCAATGTTTTAAACAGCCAGCGCTCGCTGTGCGGCCCTAGATCCATCCACTTGCTCTTTGGCAGGGCCAGGGCTGTGCTTTTTGCCCTGTGCGGGATGTGTGAGGGGGCACATTGGCACTCGTTCCTTACCAGCCACTTCTGCTTTCTAGCCTGGCACTGGGAAGTGTCTGATACAAAGAGGCTGTTCCAGCCGCTGGTCCCAGTTCGGGGCAAGTGCACCTGTACTTCCCCTCCATGGCCCAGGCTTCCGGCTCCCCTGGCCGACACCTCTCTGGGGTGGAGACCTGTGTCTCCCTTGGGAGCAGGGTATTTCCAGACTGCCAGCTCCCTGCCTTCCCTGTGCTCTTCCCAGCACAGACAGGCTGTCCTAGGACACCTGCTAGCTTTCTCTTCAGAGCCGCCTTGCATTGCTACAGGTCGTGGTACCCAGGCAAGCCGGCTTTGTTCTTCAGGTAAAAAACATTACAGAGAAAACATATTCAAACCAGCAAGAGACCCATGCTAATAACCCTCCCAGGGATCACCCCGACTCTGCCAGGAGCCGTCCTCAACGTGCCTCCCGCAGACTTTCCTTGTGGTTACAAGTGCATCACAGCGTCAGCTGAGAACTAGCACCGGGTCGTATGGGGCCCCATCGGCCCAGTCCTGCCAACCCTACCCTAAGGATTGGGACCCTCGCTGGACCAGGGGTCCTGGCAGTTTGCTAGAGCAGAACTGAAAGCCCAGAGCCTGTTTAAAACCAGGCTATTTATCCCCAAACCCTTCCTTTGTGTGTTGGGCCCTGGAGGATCCAGTCTGAGCAGTACATGCGCATCCCCCAAGGGCGGCTTCAAAGGGCTGCTAAAGGAGGAATTACTTTAGCCCCCACTCCTACTAGAGCAGGTACGTGCAATGCTGCAATGGCACACACAACTGCATGGCTAATCCAATGGACCCCAAAAGCCTTAACCCCAATTCAGTAAGGTTTAACTTAATCCAATAACATTTATCTTAATCCCATTAGGCTTTGTTCAGGCTATTGCTGGCCTGTCACCACCTGCCCCCACCAACGGGAGCCCCAGCTAGCAGCTAGAGCCGGGAGTGGTCGGCTCCACGCACTGATTGAATCCAGCCGGCAGGGACTCCAGGGCTGGGTGTGTGTGTGTGTGTGGCGGGGGGCTTGCCAAGTGGTCTGGCCAACGCCCCGTTCTCACACCTCATGCAGGCTAGTGGAACTGCAGGGGCGTGTGGAGATTCGCTGAGTTAAAGTCAGTGCAGGGCTGGCCGGCTGCCTGGGGCGCAGGGCAGTTGGATGGCTACGCTCTGGTCTGTGCCACACACGCTGCAGCTACCTGTGTGTTCCCGCGAAGGGCCCCAGCACCATGCTCGATGGAAATCCATTTCTCCGGGGTGGCGCCTGGCGCTGTGCGAGAGAGGCCAGGGCAGACGCGGTGGGGCCTGCTGCGGTGTGTGGAGATGCCACCAGCACACAGGATGTCAATTTACCACCCTCCGCATGGGAGCGTCTTAAGGCACCTGGCTCCCTCCTGGCTCCCTCGGCTCCTGCCAGACTCTCAATGCTCGGCCAGCACTTTCCCGTGCTGGTCCCAGCCAGGGGCTGCCGTCCCACTGGCTTGATTCTAGGCCCTTTCCATCCTGCCCGGCTCCCTCTCTAGCCATGGGCTCTCGCTCCCGGCACCCAGTCTCAGCGTGGCCAGTGGCTGCTGCAGCTGCCACTCCTCAGCACCCTCCAGGCTGGCAGACCCACCGGGCTTGTTCAGGAGAGTCCCGGCCCTCGCCCCGTGGCACCACTGGCCGATGAGCAGACCAGCGCAGGGGCGGGAGGTTGCTGAGGGGAGCATGGCAGTCACTGGAGGGAGCCGAAGGTCCCGTTGCTCTGGGTGGTGTCAGCAGTTCTCAGATCTTTGAGGTGACGCTGCTGTCTCCTGGCCTGGTGCCCCGAGAGCATCTCAGGCACGCAGGCTGTGACCTTGGGGCCGTCATAAATTGCTGTTATCACTGCTGTAAATGGTGAACAGTGTTCCCAGCGTGGGGGAGTGAGGGAGCCACCTTCAACAGGGCCTACGGCACAAAGGGCAGCCTGCCTTGCAAAGGGGACCCGCTGCCTCTGGCTGGCTGGGAGGCCCAGAACCACTGGGTGGCTGCTGTGGGGGTGCAGGTTGGGGCAGAGGTGCAGTTCCTGGGCAGTGGTTGGCTGCTGGGGGAACGTGACGGGGAGGTATCAGGCCTGGCCCGTGTGGCTTGCAGAGCCGGGCCAAGGCGGGGGTGATGGCTGGGGGAAGCCGAGGCTGACATGTCGCTTCGTTCTCCACCCTGGTCTGGGCCCCGAGTGCTTCCCAGGCTGTGCTGTGGACAGCACGTTTCCCGCCCTGCTCCACCCTCCCTTCCCTGGGGATGGGCGCTGAGTGTCAGCCTGACCCTGGGAGACGAGTGCACCCAGCCCGCGCCCTGCCAAGGCTGGGCTCAGGCCCCCGGAGCAGGCGCACTGGATCTGCTGACCTGGACCCACCCCTGGCTTTGGGGGCGGACGGTGCCAGGTCTGCTGGCAGTTCGTGAAATTAAACCAGACACTTACCTTGAATGCTAATGGTGGTGAATGTGATCGCTCAGCCAGTGCCACGGGGGTGGGCTCCGGCACCTCCCCTGCCGCTCTGGGGAGTGGGCTCCGGCACCTCC